CCGCGAACTTCAAGGTTTCTACCGGCTACAACACACGGGGTTGCGTCAAATACGGGTCCGACGAGAGAAACGGGTTTCGGGCTTCAGGAGGCGAGAAAACGACCTACACAGAAGACTTTTTGCTGAGGCCGGGTTTCGCAGCTAAGCGATGGTAGCAGATCAAGCTCCCTACCACCTCAAAGGCGTTATAAGACCTGTTGGCGCTGGACGAATAAGGTGGGGCCTTATGTTTAGCCCTCTGGTGGTTAAAAAGCGCATGTATTGCGCAAGTTCGATAGCTGGATATGAAGAAAAAAGTTTCGAAGTTGCGCGTGGAGTGGCGCGACACTGTTTCGGCCCCGACAAAAATCGACCATCGGCAATATTTAGGACGTGGGCCCAATCGGGTTTGATCGCCTTGATCTGTCGCGATCAATAATTTCCAGGAAGCCTGGAAGCCAAATTCAGGCAATCAGGGGTAATCAGCTAATCGCGATCAACTGATCGCCCGAACTCGATCAGACCCAATTTTCACCCCAATCAGAGACGATCTTCCTCCATCGCAGACGATCAATTGATCGCATATGATCGGGGACCACATCGATGCTTGCGAATAGTTACACTGTATTACTAGGTCCCGTCAACCCCTCACGAAGATGTCCAGCCTTGAAGGAACACCCAATTTGCCATCCAATAATTCTCCTCGCGCATAAGTACATCCAGCCTGGCGTGAACAATCTGAAATAGCCACCACCTCGCCTCCAAATCAAACTCCATCGACCCAATACTGCGCCCCGAGTACTTCAATTCCGCTCGTACTTCTATTCCTCACGTCATCATACCACTACCTCCACGCGCTGATTTCTTCTAAGTTACAGCTCCCCAGCTTCTTGTGCTCCCTAGACAATCCCTCTTCATGGCTGCTTTACTGTCAAACTCTCGTGCACAAGGTGACAATGGTGAAACGACTCGCAATCGCATCCCATGAATGTGCGGACTTCCGCGCCGAGCAAGATCTTAGCCTCGGCGGTGCTGGCGGCATTGGCTGCCACGCGTCAATCCTCGTCTACTGGCGCACCCAGGCCTAGCGCTTCACCCGGACTACGTCTAGGTAACATCCCCACCGCGAACCAGGCTGGGATCGACATTAATCGCCCTCCCTTTCGTGCTTATGCAGCAGCAGCAAGAAGTCTGCCACCCACATTCCAGCAACTACGTCCTACGGTTTCACCACCCACCCGACGCTCCCCGTCGGTGCAAGGGGACGCGACCGGCGTTGCCCTGTTGCCTTTGACGCAAAACAGTCAGACTAATCCCGTGCCGATCCTCGGAGGGCTGGATACCGCTGCGCGTGTTGACACCAACACCAACCCCACGCGTTCCCAAGTCGGCAGCAACACCGTAAGGGCCATAGGCTCGCAGCTGCAGCGCACCGCTCATCGTCAGATCCAAACCCAGGCGACCGGATCTGCCTCAGCATGACGTTCTCTTTGGCTGCTTGGCATTGACTATGGCGTGTTGTCTTCAAATCGCCCCCCGACGGCGAGTTGATCGCCTCCCAATGTTCCTTCCATGACACCAAACTCCGCCTCTCCCCGCCCTTCCTCAGCAGCAGCATCAACCTCCCAATGCCTCAGCCTTTAGGACCATCAACACGCGTCCACAGTCTCCAAGGTGACAACACCACATCCCCAGCAGCCTCGGCGACCTCCCCGTCGATGCTAGCCTCGGCAATGCCTCGCACAAGTGGTCACCGAGTCTCCCGGGCAGAAATCACTGACTTCGACGAGCTGGTCAATTCACTGCCAGATCCACGTGCCCCATACGGACCAGGCGATGACGCGCAGCCCGAGGCAAACATGGACGTAACTGTGGTGGATGACCAGCATGCGGACACCTCTACATCTGTGGCAAGGGACAGCAAACCAACCCCTAGTGCGACGGTCGAGGATGTCGGGGAGACCGTCTCCACGCGTGGAAATGAAAGCAATTGGAGCCTGGCAGAGGAGCACCTTCTGGCCGAGGTCCGCCATGATCTTGATGACCTGGTGCGTCGTTTAAGAGCGCTGCAGGGTCAGTCAACCCACCGAGAGTGTCGCCAACGCGATCCCACCTTCAGGCACGGCATCAGTGCGATAAGGTCCAAACGTCAGCGCATGAAAGCACGGTGGACGCAGATTCGTGAAAGTGGTCGGCAAAGTGGATTGGGAGCTCCAACCGATTTACCCTCTTGGTGGAACCTCCTGCACCCACTGTGGCCGAGAGTGGGCACAACCCACTCACGCAATTGGGAGCAGACTTGATACAGACGAGCGCAACAACACTCTGAGCACGACCCCAGCTGGTTAGGGAGCTGCCGATGTGATTGGATTGTTAGTCAGTTTGCATATCAGATTCCCTCCCAAGAGCCTAAATCCCGTCCCTTTTCCCGTGCCTCGCAGGTCGTGCCGGAGTTCAAGGCCCAACGTCGACCGCGGGCCCGTCTCGTTCCCGACGGACACAATTGGTTGATATCGTCGTGAGCACCCCTCCGAGATCGGGCTCCACTCCTCGTCCCGCCACCAGCACCTCACCCAGTATAGGTGAGTTGTCCACCATCATCGATACTAATACTCACACCATGGTGGCACGATCATGGCTGCCCATGTCCATGGGCAGCCACGTGACAGCATTGTGACCCATGTGTGTTTCTTTCCCTCTCCCAGGTCTCGCTAGAATTGGGCCGAAAATGCCAGGTAATTGGACCCCGCTTGCTGAGCAGCCGATGAGAATCTTCTACGAAAAACACCTCTGATCGGGCGGCTCGGGCAACTCAATCACAAGCAACCCGATCAGATCCGACGCGATCAGATCTGTCGCGATCAAACATGATTGGGCCCACGTCTTACCCTACCGAAAAAGTCGGAGCTGAAGAAGTTGTAGCAGCTGGCGGAGTTTCTCCTAATTCAACGGTCTATCCGAAAACGGTGTAGCAGCGACGACGGAGTCCCCGAAGCTGTGGAGTTTTAAGCGTGATAGGTACGGTGGGCAGCGAAGCGGCCGGCTGAGAGTTTGATATGATAATTTTGCTCTGACTACGATTGCGTTCGCGCCTTCATCGAACGTCATACAAATCGCAGGCAACACAGAGAAATACCTCATCTGACGAAAGTGGATGCAGGGTGAATGGCGGCAAGTGAAATTGTCGGGGGGTGAAATAAATGAAAAGCATGTGAGCGTCTGCTCGCCAAAAGACTCCGCGGTGTATTTCAAAGCGGTCAGGGAAGTTCGACAACGAGATCGACGGCGTAGATGCGAGCTAGGTTCCGTGAAATTTGGTCCCGGTAGACCCATAAAATACTAGGTTCCATGCCGAAAGCACCCCCCCTTAGTGGGTCGCGAGGGTGGTTAACCGCAGGAAAGAGGAATGGCGACGGGTGGGCACGCAGGTCACGACCGAAGAATTCGGGCAAGAACCTACCTTCGACCGAAAAATACGTGGGGTTCCGACTCCGACATTTGCGGGTGCAACGAGCAGTTTTGAGGATGAGTTTTAACGGAGTCGATCTCGAGGCCTGACAATATCCGTGCCTACGGCGGAGTTGCAGTGGTGCTTGTTTAAGCGCGCGAAAGGACTCGTCGTTACAAGAAGTAGCCGTACAATTCGAAAGCTACTCGGGGGTACCAGCGACAACACGACGAAGAAATTTTGCTACACATTGGGGGAGAGGCAACAACTATTTTTGGTCCCTGCCCGGGAGAGTTCGGCAAGTCACGACAACACCGACAGTGAAGCCGACGTCGTCTGCGGATCAAGATCGGGTTTGAAGAAAAATACTGCAGCGGTCAGGGGGAGGAACAGCAGGGTTCTTAAACTGTGCCCAGGAATTTTCGAAGAATCACGACAAAAGCCTTGGCGAGTTACGACAAAGCCGCTGATGGTACTGGCGTCATCAGTGACTGAATTCGAGTTTTTCAACAAAGTTTTCAAGTCTGACACAGGTCAGTCATGTGATCTGACCTTTTCGTCGAGCGTCGCTGATGCGCTACAACGACTTCGTTATTTTCGTGACGGGCTTCGACGACGAATTACAATGATCCGAGTCACGACAAAAGAAAAAATACGAAGGGCTCGAATTTCCGCTCCCGACAAACGCGTCAGCACGTTCGCGCCAACGACAAAGCGGGTGGCAGCTCCTGCCAGCTGGAGATGCTGCAACAGTCAGGAGCTTTAAGGCAGCCGTGACAACAAGACAGCCGAAGACACTACAACAGCAGGGTGATTTGATGCTGCGACGCGGTGTCTCGGTCGCTGTCGCTGGAAATGTTTCAGCAGCAGTTTGCGATAAAAGAACAGCAAGAAAGTTTCTTCAGGGAAAAATATTTCGAAGGGTCGCGTTCGACATCGGCGCAAAACGATTACCGTGTAGGAACAGCAACGCAGTACCCTAGGCGTTTTCTTAAGCGCCACGGCAGCGACATTTTAACACCGACTACAATCTCGACAGCGCAGGTGCTAAAATTCAAACGGGGGGTCATAACACTTGGTGTTCTTGACTACCCTTGGCGTCAGGGTGGTTGGATTTTCGTGCCCGCGCAGCTGTATTACAGTGGTGGTTTACCCTTTCTTTCATGGGAGGTAGAAAGAGTGGTTTTGCACTGTACTAGGAAGTTCTCTTCAATTTTCGTCTGACACTTTCTGCAGGACGGACGCTCACGATGACTTCATCGACATCGACGGTTCCCGATTCACCGACATCTGACATCGTGTCAGAATTCCCGCCAACATCGTCTGCATCACAACCGACCGATCAACATCCGCTATATCGATGCCTTTTGCTCATCTGCGATTTCCTGTGCGACATTTCGATCGCACTCGTTCGATCAACATCGACGGCTGACATCCCAACGCTTTCTAAGCTGTTGGATCCGTCTTCAACCGAAGATCTGCAGTTTTCAAGCTACTGCAAGACTCGGCTATATACAAGGGTGTCAAACTATATATGTGCTAGTTCTGTGTAGGCTATAGTGGGGTAGCCCATATGGGGTACAGCCCAAAGTTAGGGTTAGTACTTGTACCTATGTTTCATTCAATGCAAGCCATTCCAGTTTGTTAGTTTCATCATGGTTTCAGAGCAGTAGGTCCCTAGGACCGAATTTGTTTAGGGTCCACCGACTGCTACCCCACGCCCTAGCCGCCCTGCCCCGCGCGCCGCCCGCCTGCTGCCTCGTCAGCCCCGAGCGCCGCCTGCCCGCTACCTCGTCAGCCCCGCGCGCCGCACACCCGCTCCCTCGTCAGCCCCGCGTGCAGCCCGCCCGCTGCCTCGTCAGCCCCGCGTGCTGCCCGCGCAGCCCGCCCGCTGCCTCGTCCGCCCCGCGCGCGTTAGCTATTTGCAACCACTTGCCATTAGCCGAACGCTGTGGCCAGCACAAAATTGCTAAGGCCCTGTACATTGCTGTGATCGCTCGCTAAAGTTCCCCAGCCACTGCTACTCCCAGCCGCCTTATCCTACCCTACCTGTTTCCTGAGCTATCCTCCTTTGCCACAGCTGAGGACCTCATAGCTCACCTTCGCGCTAGTGACCTACGCTACCGCGCCGCGCTCCTAGCCGAGTTCTTAGACAAGAACCCTCCCCCGATGTACATCACACTCTACTTCGTAGTCACCAGACTCCTTGACTCTCTTCGCGTAGTCAGGGACCACTTTCTAGCCCTTCCCCCCACCAACCTCACAGTCGACAACCTCGAGACGCACCTCCTTGCAGCTGAGTCCAACATCGTTGCTGTAGGTGCTGCTCGTGGCACTCCCTGCACTCCCCTCTTTAAGGGGTGTGCCCCCTCCCCCCTTGCCCCCTCCCACGCCTCTGCTGCTGCTGTTGACTTCCTTGGTGATGAGGAGGTTGGTGCCGCTTCTGCCCCTAGTGGGAAGCGCCGCCGCGGCAAGGGCAGGGGAGGCGAGGGTGGCAGCGGTGGCAGCAGGGGGGGTGGTGGTGGGAGTGGAGGTGTCGGTGGCAGTGGTGGCGGCAGCGGTGGGCGTAGTGGTGGTGGAGGTGGCGGTGGTGGGAGCGGTGGCGATGGCGGCGGCAGCGGCAGTGGTGGCGGCGGTGGGAGTGGTGGTACCGGCTGTGGTGGCGGCGGTGGTGGCGGACGTGGTGGAGCAGTTCAGCGGGGAGGTTCTGGTGGTGGCCAGCGCCAGCAGCAGCAGTGTCCACCTGAGCCCCTCACGCCCCAGCAGCTTCGTGAGTGGTACGCTCAGCGTGGGGCGTCTGGGGGTAGTGCTCGCTGCCCGTACGTCATTCGCACTGGGGACCGCGGTGGTCAGACATGCGGGAAGTTTCACACCGAGCACTGCTGTTTCTCTCGCCTTGACGACGCCTGCCGTGCCTAGTTCCCTGACGCAGTGGAGCTCCCCCGCTGGGGGGACCTGCTTAAGCACGATATTGATATCTATGCTCTTGACTTTGATGCTATCCTTGCTGCTATGCATGCATTGAGTGTTAGCGGTGATGGGGACTGTTACTTGTGTATTCCACCAGACCCAGGTATAGAGTCTGCTGCTCTAGGTGCTAGTGAGTCTGCTCTCTCTAGTACTGCGCCTGCTGAGGCCTTGTACACCTTCACGCTTGACTCAGGTGCTTCTCGCTGCTTCTTTCGCGACAATACCACTCTCACACCACTCACCAGGCCTGTTGCAGTCTCCTTGGCTGACCCCTCTGGGGGCCCGGTTCTTGCACGCTCCTCTACTGTGCTCCCGTGCCCGGCCGTTGCGTCTGGTTGTCTGTCCGGTCTCCACCTCCCCTCGTTCTCAACGAACTTGGTGAGCAACGCAGTCCTCCAGGATGCAGGGGTTGATACCTTTACACCTGGATGGCAGCGTGTGGCGATCTGTACGTGCTCTCGGACTGGCCGTCACCTGGCCACGTTCACTCGTCGGCCGGGGTCGAGTCTGTACACACTGACTAGTGCGCCGCCTCAAGTCGCTGTGTCGGCTCAGGTGTCTCCGTCACGTCCGGTAGCAGCCCCCTGTGAGTGTCGCCGCCTGTCGCACCAGACTCTCCTTTGGCACCACCGCCTTGGTCACCCCTCCCTGCCACGCCTTCGTGGCATGCACTCTCCTCTCCTGGTCTCTGGTCTTCCCAGGTCTCTGCCTTCCCTCCCACCCTCGCCTGCCCCGCCCTGCCTTCCTTGCGTCGAGGGGCGGCAGCGCGCCGCTCCTCACTCCTCCTCGTTTATATTGGACGACTGCTCCCCTGCAGACTCTCCACATGGACGTGTGGGACCTAGCTCGTGTCCGTGGACAGGGCCGCGAGTGATACATTCTGCTGGTTGTTGACGACTACTCGCGTTACACCACGGTCTTCCCCTTGCGCAACAAGGGTGAGGTCCCTGCTGTTTTGATCCCTTGGATCCGCGCTGTACGTCTCCAGCTCCGCGAGCGGTTCCGGACGGACCTTCCTGTCCTGCGTCTGCACTCTGACAGAGGTGGTGAGTTCTTCTCCGACCTCTTGCGGGACTTTTGTCAGGGGGAGGGCATCCTCCAGTCGTTCACGCTTCCGGCCTCTCTACAGCAGAATGGGGTTGCTGAGCGCCGCATTGGCTTAGTCATGGAGGTCGCTCGTACTTCCATGATCCATGCGGTTGCTCCCCATTTTCTGTGGCCGTTTGCGGTCCGGTACGCTGCGCATCAGCTCAACCTCTTGCCCCGTGTCTCCTTGCCGGAGATCTCGCTCACATTGCGTTGGATGGGGGAGGTTGGCGATGCGTCGCGGTTCCGGGTCTGGGGCTCTCGTGCCTTTGTCCGCGATACCACCGCGGACAAGCTCTCCGCTCGCGCCATTCCCTGCGTCATCCTTGGCTTTCCTACTAACGCGCCTGGCTGGCAGTCTTACCACCCCACCTCGCGACGGGTTTTTCCCTCTCAGGACGTCACTTTTGATGAGTCGGTTCCCTTTTACCGTCTCTTCCCCTACCGCATGCTTCTCCCCTGCCACCGCCGCTCTTCCTCGCTCCAGGTCCCCCGCCGGTAGATCCCCTCCCCCCTTCTGGTCCTACTCCTTCAGGTGTGTCTCAGGTAGACCCACTCCCCTTGGTTGAGCCTGTCGAGGTCACTGGTGACTCGGGTGCTGCTGGGAGGGGTGAGTCTGAGTGTGCAGAGCCTGGGGGTGTTGAGCTTGTGCGTACGGAGCCTGGGGGTGCTGAGCCTACGACTGCGGAGCCTGGGGGTGCTGAGCCTGCGAGCGCGGAGCCTGGGGGTGCTGAGCCTGCAACTGCGGAGCCTGGGGGTGCTGAGCCTGCGAATGCGGAGCCTGGGGGTGCTGAGCCTGAGCGTGCGGAGCCTGGTAGTGCTGATTCTGGGGGTGTTGCGCCTTGGGGTACTGCGTCTCCACTCCGAGAGCCTCTCTCACCACAGCAGCTGCGCGAGTGGTACGCTCGCCGCTGTCGCCTTCAGAGTGACGCAGCTGGAGCTGGAGGCACTGGAGCTGGAGACGCTGGTGCTGGAGGTACCGGAGGAGCTGGAGCTCTTGGTCCTGGAGGTGCTCGTATTGGAGATACTAGAGCTGCCATGGCTGGTGGAGCTCGTTGTGGAGACGTTGACGCTGGAGGTGCTGGAGCTGGAGGAGCTGGAGCTGGGGATCTTGGTGGTGGCGACGTTGGAGTTGGAGACGCTGGAGCTGGAGGTACTGGTGCTAGCGGCGCTGGAGCTGGAGGTGCTAGTGCTGGAGACACTAACAGTACTCCTGCTGGTGGTGCTACACAGTAGCGACTGTTCTTCACTCCGCCGTCGCCGTCGTCTCTCCCGCCGCCTGACTCCGTGCTTCGTCAGGTTCTTAGCCTCCCGTCTTCTACTGGTCTCCCGTTACAGCCCGGCTCTGCACTGCCTGCTCCTTCTCCTAACACTGAGTAGACGGACTCGCTTGCAGAGCATCGTGAGCCTGCGTCTCGTCCTGCCTCCCCTGTTCGCACTGTTCGCCGTGCTCGTCGTGTCCCGCGTCCGCGTCCTCCTCCTGTGCTTAGCACTCACACTATGGCACTTCGTCCTTCCTCTGTACCCCAGCGCGTCCCTCTGCTGTCTCCTCCTGCGTCCTCTCTTCCTGAGATTCCTGACCCTGAGTCTGACCGTGTTCGTGCTGCTAGCCCCACAGTCACGCGTCTCCTGGCTACTGTTGTCACTGACCCTTCGTTTGAGTCCACTGCTACGTGTGCCTTAGTTGCTGAGCTTGTTAACTTTGCTGCTGCGTGTCGTCTAGACTACGCCGCCAGTCTTGTTGCTGCGTCTGAGTCTGAGGCTGGGTTTGTCTGTCCTCCGTCCGTCGGGGGTGAGTGTGCTCTTGGCACGGACATCCTTGAGGACAGGCAGGAGGACTTTGAGTGTCTTGCGGCTGTTGTACCTCATCTCGTGGCCTGGCTGCTTGCCCCTGAGGGAGACCCGGATGCACTAGACATCCCGAACCCGCGCTCTTACGCAGAGGCGATTTCGGGTCCCTACTCCTCTCAGTGGCAGACAGCCATGGACGCCGAGATGGCATCCTGGAAGTCCACAGGAGAGAAAAAAAAAGGAGTAAATCGAAAAAAGGAGTGACAGCCCCACGCTATTGGAGTAAAGTTTTTGTGTGCTTTAACCCTTTCCCTTTTTTGTGCAATGTTGTCCCGTGAACAGTGATTCTTCTAGAATCAAAATGTTGATTCTTGTGTTTTGGAAGAATCATTTTTACCTTCCGTCTCACTAGGGCGGAAGCTTTCCGCCAAGGGGGGAGAATAAGGACAGAAGACGGCACGGAATCAATTTTAGGTGGTGTTCGCGTCGCTGCTGCTAGACACCTGCGCTTCGATTTCCGAAAGTTTTACCCTACAGCCCGCACTGTTTTGCCCTCGATAATGCGATTCGAAGCTTCCGTGAAGACGGGAAATTTTTTCTTCCGTCCTTCTTCCGTTGCTGCCGAACTGGGCCCTTGTTTGCATCTTCCTCGTCTTTCAGGGGTTGGGAATCATGCGAGAATGTTACTCGCATGATTCAAGGGAGTGTTGTTAGGGTGTTGCGTGTTTTTCGAAGTGATGCGCGTGTTTCTGGGCACTTGAAGTCAACTCCGCTGGTTTCGTGGTAGCAAACTGTTCATCGCGCTTTTCATATTTCATGAAGTTGTAACAAACAGTGCTATTAAACTTAAATTGGTAATGTTACATTTTGAGATATTGAGATATTCATGAAACAAATATCTTGACAATGCTAGTGTAATCATTGCCAATATCTTGCCAACGATTTTTGTATTTTTATTATATTATAAAATTTTTGACATGTTTTCTAATATTATTTAATACTTGGTCGTAGACGATGTATCATCATTCTTGTATAAAATTGTGTTTTTAGCATTTTATAATTACACAATAAATTACTTCAGTCTATTCCCTATCCATAGGAGCTGGAATGAGCTAGTTCGCCCAACTACACAGCTCGTGACGCTCGTTTGTATGTTCGATGGCATGAATCTATCCAATGATAGGACATTCTGACAAACACGTCACCGTTTCAACGTCTGTATGTTTTCAATAGCCCTATTTATTCACACAGATGCCTACTTGATCCTATTCCCTAAAGATAGGAACTGGTTTGAGCTTATTCGCACAACTACGTAGTACGTAACGCTTGTTTGTGCGTTTGATGACATGAATCTGTGCAGGGGTTGGCCAGTGCGCAATATGTCACAGTCCAATCGTGTATAATTTGTTTTTTAGCCCTATTTCTTCACATAGTTCCCTAGGTTATCCATTTACCTAGCCATAGGATCTGGTTTGAGCTCATTCGCACAACTACGCAGCACGTGACGCTTGTTTGTGCGTTTGATGGTATGAATCGGTGCAAGGATAATCCAGTGCGCAACATGTCACCGTTATATCGTCTATATATTTCTTTTAACCCTATTTCTTGGCACATTTCCCTAGGTTATCCATTTTCCTAGCCATAGGAACTATTTTGAGCTCATTCGCACAACTATGCAGCACGTGACGCTTGTTTGTGCGTTTGCTGGCCTGAATCTGTGCAAGGATAGGCCAGTACGCAACATGTCACCGTTTAATCGTCCATATGTTTCTTTTTGTTAGAATCTAGAAGCAGGAATGAGTTGCATTGAAAGAGAGTTGGGTACAAGTATCAAACCCTAGAGGGGTTGTACCCCATATTGGCTACCCCACTACAGCCTACACAAATATAGCATGCATATAGTTTGACACACCCCCATAGGCAAAGTGGGGGAGAACAAGGGGTCACAAGACCAGTCAAGAAAAACAAAGCAAGCTCAGGGTGGATCACAACGTCACCACACATACTGAGCACAAGCAAAGGGCCACAAGGCCAGTTCACATGCAGAGACATATATGCAACAACAACAGTACAGTGATCACTACCTAGCAAGAGCAAACATGCAGGCATATACATATATATATACATATAGATCACAGTACAAGCAGAGTCTACAGCAAGTGTGGAAACGTAGGCACAAGGCCCAACAAAGTACAAAAGCGCTGATGGTCACCAGACGGAAGTGCCTTGGTGAATATATCAGCAGTGTTGGCCTGAGTGGCCACGTGAGCAAGACGAAGCTGACCACGCTGCTGCAACTCTCGAGCCAGGAAGTAGCGCAGAGCGATGTGCTTCGTTCTGTGCTCCTGTCTGTGCTCCTGACACAAGGCAATGACGGCCTTGTTGTCGACGTACAGAACTGGAGGAGAACGAGGCCTCTCTCCCAAGTCAGTCAGCAGGTAGGTAAGCCAGCGTAACTCCTGTGCAGCCATGGCTGTGGCGTAGATCTCAGCCTCACAACTGGAGCCGAGAACAGAAGAGGAGCGAGTAGACCGCCAAGAAACAGAGCCAGAGCCAAGGCTGAAGGTGTAACCCTGTGACGACCGCTGCGTAGCCAGGTCGTCAACCCAAGAAGCGTCTGAGTGCCCAGTGAGGACAACTGGACTCCGCCCTCCAAGCACGAGCCCCATGCCCGATGTACTGCACAAGTAGCGCAGTACCCTCTTTGCAGCATCCATGTGCACCTTTCGGTGCCGACCAGGAGCCACGTAGCGAGGTCAGGACGAGTGCAGGTCATCAGGTACATGAGGCAGCCCACTAGCTCTGGGTAAGGACCACTCGGCTCTACGGACTCGTCCGAAGGTGGAGCTGAGAGCAAGTGACCTGTAGCCAGAGGAGTGGACTGTGGCGAGGACCAGGTGAAGCCAAAGCGCTGAAGGACCTGCTGCACCATGTGTGACTGAGTCAGTGTGATGGTGCGGCGTGCTCTGTCCCGGGTGATCTGCAAGCCAAGGTAACTGCGCAGCTCACCCAGGTCTGTGCACGTGTGTCTCTTCTGCAGCTCCGACTTCACCAGGGCGAGAGCCTCAGTGTCAGCAGTGGCAAAGACCAAGTCGTCGATGTACACGAGGATGTAGAACGGCGGCAGCAAAGTGTCGGTGCGCAGAAACAGCGACGGGTCAGCTGTCGAAGGAGCAAACCCAAGAGCCGCAAGCGTCATCCTCAGTGTGTCGTGCCACTCACGCGGCGCCTGGCGGAGACCGTAGACTGGCCGCTGGAGGCTCCACTGGGTACCAGGAGGGAACGTCCCAGTGAAGCCAGGTGGGCGGCGCAGCCAGATCTCCTCGTGCAGGCTACCTTGTAAGGAGGCTGTGCTAAAGTCCAGAAAGTGAAGCTCGTAGTCACGCTGAGCGGCAACGTGCAGCAGCACCCGAAGAGTAGTCATCTTCGGGGTGGGGGAGAAGGTTTGGAAGAAGTCAACTCCCTCTCGCTGACTAAAGCCTCGTGCAACGTAACGAGCCTTGAAGACAGGCGGAGAACCCGGCGGCCGCTTCACCCTGAAAATCCACATGCCATCAACGATGTTCGCCCCAGGAGGGGGAACCTCGTCGACGTAAGTGCCTGTGGACTTCCAGGATGCCATCTCTGCGTCCATGGCTGTCTTCCATTGAGAGGAGTAGGGACCTGCGATCGCCTCAGCGTAAGAGCGCGGGGTAGGGATGTCTGGTGCATCTGGGTCTCCCTCAGGGGCAAGCAGCATGGCCATGAGATGAGGCGCAGCGGCCGCAAGACACTCAAGGTCCTCCTGTCTGTCCTCAAGGACGTCCGTGCCAAGAGCACACTCACCCCCGACGGACGGAGGACAGACAGACGCAGACTCAGCAACAAGACTAGCAGCGTAGTCTAGACGACAGGCAGCAGCAAAGTCCACAAGCTCAGCGACTAAGGCAGACGTAGCAGCAGACTCAAACGACGGGTCGGTGACAACAGTGGCCAACAGACGCGTGACAGTAGGGTGCTCAGCACGAAACCGGTCAGACTCAGGGTCCGGAACGTCAGGCAGAGAGGACTCAGGAGGAGACGGCAGAGGAACACGCTGCGGAGCAGAGGACGGACGACGGACAACGAGGGGAGCGCCGGGGACAGTCGGCGAACGCAGACGAACAACACGACGACTGGTACAACCAGAACGAACAGGCAAGACAGGTAGCGATGCTCAGCAAGACCCCCTGGCTGCTCGGTGTAAGGAGAAGGAGCAGGCAGCGGGGAGCCAGGCTGTAACGGAAGACCAGTAGAAGACGGGAGGCTAAGAACATGGCGAAGCACAGAGTCAAGCGGCGGCGGAGACGACGGAGACGGCGGAGCGAAGAATAGTCTCGGCTGCGCCGTGCCACTAGCACCAGCAGCTCCAGCGCCTCCAGCAGCTCCAGCACCTCCAGGACCAGCTCCACCAGCAGCAGCACCCCCAGAACCGGCACCTCCAGTCCCAGGGTCTCCAGCCGCAGCGTCTCCAGCAGCAGCACCCCCAGAACCGGTACCTCCAGTCCCAGGGTCTCCAGCCTCAGTGTCTCCAGCAGCAGCACCCCCAGACACAGCACCTCCTGTCCCAGCAGCTCCAGTACGAGCACCTCCGGGACCAGCAACTCCAGCACCTCCAGTAGACAAAGTACCAGCACCACTCCCAGCTCCAGTGGCGTCAGCAGAAGCACCTCCAGCGGAGGAGCCCCGAGCTCTAGCAGTGCGAACCTGACGGCGACCGTACCAGTCGTGCAGCTGCTGTGAGGTGAGAGGCACACGCGGACGAAGGCGGCCACTCCAAGGAGACCGCGCACCAGCAGTCTCAGTACCCTCAGGCGCCGCACCCCCAGACTCAGCACCCCCAGGCTCCTCACGCACAGGCTCAGCACCCCCAGACTCAGCACTCCCAGTCTCCGCACCCCCAGGGACAGCGCCGGCTCCAGTGCCTCCCACACCAGCGTCTCCTGCAGCAGGGCCCCCAGCTCCAGCAGCTCGACCCTGACGGCTAACGTACCACTCACGCAGCTGCTGTGGGGAGAGAGGGAGACGACGACGAGAGGGCAGCGGCGAGGCACCAGTGGAGCGGCTACGGAGACGGCCGCTCCAGGGAGACAGCTCACCAGACGCCCCAGCGACCCTAGGTGCAGCACCCCCAGACGCAGTACCCCCAGGCTCAGCACCCCCAGGCTCTGCACCCCCAGGCTCAGCACCCCCAGGCTCAGCACCCCCAGGCTCCGCACCCCCAGGCTCAGCACCCCCAGAAGCAG